AAATTTATCTGATGCATAATTTTAAGGGGTGAAACTCACAAAGAAATGAGTATAAAAACAGGCAGGTCAAACATGACTTTTCGCCTGGAAAACATATGAATTTATCTCAGTAAGTAACAAAACTATATAATGCCAAGTTATACAAATAAATAAACAAATAAAATTCTGGTTTATGAAATTTTCTATTAGATTAACAAAAGTGATAAATTTTTTAAAATCTCTATTCTTAGTAGATGAGAGAAAGTTGATGAACTGAACAGTATGTCATGTAAATAAGCTATGTCACTGCAACTAAATTATTCACTAGCGTATAGACGGAAAATAACTAATGAGTTAACAGTCATTTCGGAATACTGAACACAAGGAAAGCAAAATAGTTTCAATGGTCATTAAGATAAATACAAGAATACTGACAGAAAATATAAAAGATTTGGGAAATTTCAAGAATACACAGCTCTTTGACCGGTGTTGTTTCACTTTTCTTATAGAATAGTCACTCATGCCTGCATAAAGATCATTATGTTAACTTCTGTCACCAAGTACTTGACCAAATCCTCATGTGAACCAAATTACATGGTCAACTAAGTTGATAACTTATAAATTTTCATATTAGAAAAGATTTTGGGTGGTCAGCTGCTGGGTGATTCCTGAAGTAACTGAAGTTTTGCCTATTGAAGGGTAAGCAGTTACAGAAGCTTGCAAATGGCACTTGGTACTCCTACAAAAATATCATGTGCAGTCAGAAATCAAGTTTTGGTTATTCTTACTTCGCCGGTATTTATTCGTGCCATTTAAAAGATAATCTTTTCATATGTTAGTACTGATCTCTATTGTTTAGCTCACTCTCTCTCTCTCTCTCCTTTATTGAAGCATTTCAGTGGTTTACTTTTATTTGAGTAGTCGTGAATTTGTAATTAGGTCCAATTCCTGGGAGTGAGGAATTATAGTCTTACTGTGTTCTTTCAAGTCTTCTAGAGATTTCATAGTTATATCATAACATTTACTTATAGCTTGTGACTTAATTTCATAACTGTCAAGTGAATGTTATATTTTCTTTTTATCATGCATAAAAACTTTGAAGAAGGAAGAGTATAACTGATGATTTCGATTGCAATATGGAACTATATACCTATCAACAGTTGAAAATTGAAAATATTTGTACTGATTGATGACACTAGTCAAATCATGATTGAAAATATTATTACTCATATGCAATCATTAAAAAGTATTTTTCATATTTGTATGAAAGCCTCAATTTATATACATAAATATAACTTCGATCACAGTCGTAGCATAGCAGTCGATTGGTGACAGAATGAAATCAACTCTTGTTTGCTCTTTACTTACAAGGTAACTTTAGAGTTGTAATTATTCAATTATAACTAAAGTAAATCAATACGTCCTCATAAATTTAACTGTGTTATCTAATAAAAAACAAGATGTTTTGTCAAAGTTTCAAATATTTCGATTCATTTGAACCACTCAGCTGTACAGTTTTTGTGTCTGACTATTGAAGATATAAAGCACGTAATGTTATCATGCCTTTCTTTTATGACACAAAGAATATGATTGTCGCTATCACAGAACGTCATTTTATTTGAAGGAAACTGGCACAAAAACTAAGCCCAATCAAAAATGGTAGATCCTAATACTATAAGGAATTCAGGAGAAAACTTGGGTTCAGCTATATATGAAATTGCATAAAACCACACAATAGGTTGAGATAGAATGAAAATCTTTAAAACCAACATTTAGGGTGAAAAGGAAGAAGAGACCGACATGCGAGTTTTTATCTATTGAAGCACCACTAAATACATGCAATAGGAATAAAGTAAATAAACTATTTCTCAAAGTTGTGGAGTTACTTTGACTATGAACGACAAATTGTGTCTGAAAACTAACTGAGTAAATGATATAGTTGCCTACTATCCCCCATGATATTCCTCATTGTGGTGGACTGGATCATGCAGCAAACAGTAGGCAGCGAGAAGAGGGGGATACACCGGACGACGGAAAAGAACCTAGAAGACTTGGATTTCACCCATGACTTGTGCCCAATGTCACATAAACTTGAAGATCTGCAGGCAAAAACTAACAAGTTGATAGAAGAGGCAGTGCAGTGAAGACGGGACTTCAGGTGAATATAGAGAAGATAGAGGTGATGAAGATACCGCACCAACAACAACAACAACAACAAACTCCAATCACCGTCAACGGGAGAAACTTAAAGGAAGTAACCTCCTTCACTTATCTAGGAAGCACTGTCTCAACTACAGGCGGGACGGACGAGGACGTCAAAGTCAGAATCGGGAAAGCAAGACAGGCGTTCATTAGCCTGAAACCAGTGTGGAGATCTTCTGCACTCAGCATGCGGAACAAGATCTGGGTTTTCAACACCAACGTCAAGTCAGTGCTCTTGTATGGCTCAGAGACTTGGCGCGTCACGAAAGGGATTTCCAATAAACTACAGACATTCATCAACAACTGCTTACGCTGGCTCGTTACTGAAGATCAGATGGCCAGAGTAATAAGAATAAGCAACAAGGAACTCTGGGAACGAACCAACCAAGAACCTATCACCCAACAAATATGCGGTGGAATGAAGTGGAGATGGATTGGCCATGCACTGAGAAGGCCGACTGAGGACATCACGCGTCAGGCCAGTTGCTCGAGTGGAATCCCCATGGGAAGCGACGAGTTGGACGTCCGAGGCAAGGGTGACATGGAGGAGGTCGTGCGAGGAGGGAATGAGAGCTTGTGGGCTGTCGTGGGACCAGGTTCAAAAGATCTCAGAGAACAGAGGTCACTTGAGACGTGCCACTGAAGCTCTATGTTCCACTAGGAACCCAAGGGACTAATAATAATAATAATAAATGATATCGGTTTACTGTGTGGATTAATCTAGTAAATCAACCAAAATGGAATTATATTTTATCACAGTGCTCAGGATTTTCTCTTATATATTTAAAGAATCTCCGACCTTCACATTTATATAGCGATCATGACACCCTCTTTGAAATAAGAATATAATTTTTAATTCGATCTCTGTTCCACTTCATCAAAGTAGTTTCAATAACACGTGATGAGAATTTATTTCTTAAATTAAAATAAACCGTAGGTATAATACAATACAGAATTCAAAGCCTCCGAGATATCACTGCATAAACTGAGAAAATGCTTCATTAGATTTTAAACATTACCATAAATAGAAAATGTAGTTAAAGTTGTAAAGTAAGTGGCACATTTCCGAAAGTGAGATATTTTTCCAAAACAGTTTTGTTAAATAGAAATAATACATAAGATGCAGTCCGGTCAATGAGAATTAAGGTAGGTAAAAATCATCCATCCATGTGAGTTACATTAACGCAACAGAGAAGCTAGCTGTTTTATATATATATATATGTATATACATGTATATACATATATATTTACTTTATCAGAAAGTGGGATAATCTCATGAATGGCCATGTAAGATGATAAATGACAGCTGTATGAAAATATAACTTGAGATAAGTAGAGAATCACCTTATAGTAATCTCCTGAGTAAATACCTATCACACGGGATAGGAAAGATTTTAAATGTTTTGGTGTTTAGAATATTATGCTGTCAGTAAAAGTGAAGTACTTTTAAGTTGCCCTACTAGGCATTGCCTCAAAAAGTGTCTAAATTCTCAATTGGAAGGCATAAAATAGATTTTTATCCGGTTAACGAAGGTTATATTTCATCAGTTATAGGAAAGAAGGAAATGGAGTAATTAGGAATCCTTACAAGTTGAATAAACAAGAGTTCTAGGTTACTTAGACTACGTTACAGTATTGGACAGGATATTAGTATCATGTTCCTATTCAATATTTTTAACGTAGTGAACTGTTACTCGTTTTCAGTACAACTTTTTATTATCTTATTTGTATCATGTCCAGGTTACAATTACTAATACTGAGTTATAAACTTTTAAATAGGGGTGAACAACTTATGCTAACCATTTCATACAAACCCAGTAACGTTTGCTTTTTAAAGTTGTAGATATTATCAGCCAACACATCCGTTCATAGTCACTCGAATCCCAACTTAATCACCAGTTAACGCAAGTGGAAGGACCCATGAACCCCTAGGAGCACCGGAAAGGTGTTTCTTCCTCGGTCTTCGGTTATTCTTCAATTGATATAAACTCGTGAGAAAAACTACAGTAAGGACAAAGAACCCTCACATGCCTATATTTGCAAACTAACTTTTATAACTTGATATAAAAGGTGAAGCCTGTAGTGTTTTTCATTGCATAAAAGTAAGATAGAACGAATAATGTAAGGTATGACTGATCACTATTCAAAGCCTTAGTTCCCATTACAATTGATTTTTTTAAAAAGAATGAATTTTTTTTTGAATAAGGCGATATAAACTTTTAAGCATAATAATATCCCATATATTGATGTATTTACACCAAAGTGTTAGGAAACCCATCTTAAAGGAGTTATTTGAAGTTAGAGTCAGAGAAAGATGGCAACTGGAAGGAAGAATATGTTGGAAGCTGATGAGCATTTCATCTCATTTTGATAATAGTCACTCAATATTAAACAATATCTGATTGTTAAAGATCATGGATCTGAAGCTTCTCTGCATTCAGGGTGGTGTTGAATAATAGTGTCTACAACGTACAGCTGCATAGATAAGTCACACTGTAGAAGCTAACTGGTTTTCTAGTTGCCAGCTTTTTGATTTACACCTAATCACAGATTGTGAGGTTTCTTGCAACGCAACACTATATTTACTTTAGTATCACTCTTCTGTGCTGCCAGTAGTATATATATATATATATATATATATATATATATATATATATATATATATATGAGACAAAGCCATAATATCACAAAGCTGACTAGTTTGTGCCTATACTTTATGTGTTATATGTAAAGTTACATTCAAGTATGAGTAGAATATAAAATCAGCGTATTTTATGGATGCAATAGCTTCTGTAAAAGATAAACTGAAGTTAACATACCCCAAAAAAGTAATCACTCCAATTTTTTCAATATGCTGCTTTACTAAACCCCAAGTAGACTGAATTAGCTGAACCTGACTGGCAGTAAGTGATGATACGTTTTGTAATGCTGCCTCATGTTCATTCTGAATATTACTTATATCCTCGGGAACATCTTGTGTAAGGTTAGATATACTTCCAGTGGATGATGATGGTATAACAGTTGAAGCAGGTTTTCTACTTCCTGGATCATTTCTAAATGAGGACGAAAGGTTTTTCTTTGGAGATAATGACAAATCATGCATACTTTTGTGCAAACTTGCGCTTCTTGATGGAACTAAATGTTGTTTGAGACGTTTTCTGAAACTTGTCAACATGCTGACACTAGATTCTTGGGAGGCTGGCAGATGTTTCTGAGGAGTAGAATAAGAAGAGATGGAGTTTCCTACATTGTAATTCACAAGTACTTCTTGCTCATCTGCATCAGGTGTACTCATAGTGTTTTGAGAATTCAGAGGGTGTGAACCAGCAGTTTCTTCAGAATTATTCATAGAAAATACTTGATCAGGATCTTTGATTACTTTGGTGTCTGAAGTGTCAGAGGCAGGTACATTGGTTAATTTGCTATCCATAATGCGATCAAGTTTATATCAACCCATTTCATAATACGAACCCTTTTATGAGTGCGAAAAATGTTAATCTAATATTTTGATAAGCAAAAGAGTAATCTAGTTATTCAAAGTTTTATACTGAACCAGTATACGGAGTTGTCAGTTGACAAGATCATTAATAGTTGACGATGTATTGTGATTGGATAAAAAGAACAAACTACTTTAAGGTAGAAATTAATGATTCTGGAAGAAATTATTTTACCCACCAGTAACATACACTAAGCTCTAATGAGAGAGAAACAAAGAGTGGATAATACAATATCTTCCTCCTATTGGTTCACTTTTGCATCACATCAGTATCATTCATCCATCATAAAACAAGTAAAACTATATCCTGTTTTTATAAGAAATATTTTTAGGAAATTATTTACAAACTGTATGGTCCACATTCACAGATGGCTAAGTTTTCAAGTTCTTGTCTACGATTTCAATAAGGCTTAATTTCAAAACTATGCAAGCTTTTGAAAGGAAACTTTCAAAATTGATCAGTCACGATGGAACTGACTTTAGCAATTCGCTTTGTAGGGGCTAGTTGAGTTTCTCAGGGAATAACGCCAGTGACTGCAATCTTAAGTAAGCGAAACACCTGTTCATTATCTTGATTACTCTCATCTGGTTATTGATGCATACAAATCAGAGAGAGAAAGTCATTTCTAACTCACTATAATGTTCAATAGTATGATAAGTACTTTTATATAATTTATTCTGTTATGCTTCTATAAGTTAAGTCGAATAACATTTTAAAACTTTTCTCAGTAATTAGAGAAATGACTTCAAATTAACGTAAATCAGTAAGAGATGGATAAAGTTGATCTTAATATTCACCACTTGAAATGCCAGGGGGCTACCCACTAACTTAATGAGTTGCATCAGCGAGTTCTGGTGCAGCGTTCTGGTGTAGCGTTCGAATCATAGGGAGAATAAAACAACTCACTGGGATGCAGGTAAATCTAACTTCTCAGTCTCAAAAAAGATGAAACTTGTGACGTGAATTCCACTGTTAGCCACGCTAAGCCAAACTGCGACTTAGTGAAAAAACGTTTTTCAGGTACGAATTGTGCGATTATACCTCCAGCTTTGAGATGATTTTTACACAAATTTTTTGGTTATTCTTTCTTCCAAGGTGACACAATTATTATTATTTTATTTATTATTAGTTCCTTGGGTTCCTAGTGGAACATAGAGCTTCAGTGGCACGTCTCAAGTGACCTCTGTTCTCTGAGATCTTTTGAACCTGGTCCCACGACAGCCCACAAGCTCTCATTCCCTCCTCGCACGACCTCCTCCATGTCACCCTTGCCTCGGACGTCCAACTCGTCGCTTCCCATGGGGATTCCACTCGAGCAACTGGCCTGACGCGTGATGTCCTCAGTCGGCCTTCTCAGTGCATGGCCAATCCATCTCCACTTCATTCCACCGCATATTTGTTGGGTGATAGGTTCTTGGTTGGTTCGTTCCCAGAGTTCCTTGTTGCTTATTCTTATTACTCTGGCCATCTGATCTTCAGTAACGAGCCAGCGTAAGCAGTTGTTGATGAATGTCTGTAGTTTATTGGAAATCCCTTTCGTGACGCGCCAAGTCTCTGAGCCATACAAGAGCACTGACTTGACGTTGGTGTTGAAAACCCAGATCTTGTTCCGCATGCTGAGTGCAGAAGATCTCCACACTGGTTTCAGGCTAATGAACGCCTGTCTTGCTTTCCCGATTCTGACTTTGACGTCCTCGTCCGTCCCGCCTGTAGTTGAGACAGTGCTTCCTAGATAAGTGAAGGAGGTTACTTCCTTTAAGTTTCTCCCGTTGACGGTGATTGGAGTTTGTTGTTGTTGTTGTTGTTGGTGCGGTATCTTCATCACCTCTATCTTCTCTATATTCACTTGAAGTCCCGTCTTCGCTGCCTCGCCTCGCCTCTTCTGTCAACTTGTTAGTTTTTGCCTGCAGATCTTCAAGTTTATGTGACATCAGGCACAAGTCATGGGTGAAATCCAAGTCTTCTAGGTTCTTTTCCGCAGTCCAGCGTATCCCCCTCTCCTCATAGCTCCCCAATGTTTGCTGCATGATCCAGTCTAGTCGACCACAACACAATCAGGAATATCATGGGGGATAGTAGGCAGCAGCCTTGTCTTACTCCTGTCTTCACTTCAAAAGCATCACTGAGCTTCCCATTGTGAATTACTTGGCATGTGGCGTCTTCATATAGTTGTTGAATGCGGCTGATAAAGGTTTGCGGTACTCCGTAGTATTGAAGCAGTTTCCAAATTACTTCTCGATCGACACTGTCGAAGGCCTTCTCAAAGTCGATGAAGTTGAGATAGAGTTGAGTTGACTGCCATTCTATACTCTGTTCTATGATGATGCCTAGAGTGGCACTGCAATTTGGTTCGCACATGATTTGTACTTCCTGAATCTAGTCAGCCATCCTGTTCCGGTCGTAGTTTTGAATCCAGTGCATCCTTTAGGCTCTCCAGGATGATGCGGCTTAATATTTTACTTGGGGGTGGATGGGAGGGTGATTCCGCGCCAGTCCCTTCAAACACTGAGATCTCCCTTCTTCTGCAGTTTAACGAGGTAACCCTTCTTCCAATCAATAGGCAGGTACCTTCTCTTCCTTCCACACCTTCTGCAATAGTGGTGTGAGCATGTCCGCTGTTGTCTCTGCCTTCGTTGTCAGTGCTTCTGGCGGGATCCCATCTGGTTCTGCTGCTTCCCCACATTTCAGTAGCTTTATGGCGTTCAGGACTTACACTTTTGTTGGAGGATTTATGTTCACTTGTAGTTCAGCGGCTGCAGGTGGTATTTCTGGAGGAAGTGCAGGTGGTGGTCGATTCAAGAGCTTCTTGAAGTGGTCGGCCCATCGTTTCCTCTGTTTCTCTTCTTTTGTAATTAAATTTCCTTCTTCATCTTTTATTGGTTTCATCTGTGTTGGTCTCTTCCCAGATTGCAACCTGGTTATTTGATACAATGTCGTCAGGTCTCTCTTACCTGCAGCCTGTTCTGCTTCCCTTGCCAGTGTTTCGTAGAAGTGTCTTTTGTCTTTGTGAGCACTCTTCTTCACTTCTTTGTCCAGTGTTTTATATATTGTGCTCAGTTCCTCTTGTCGTTGAGCATCCTTGCACTGGTTTATCTTCTGTTTCATCATCCTCCTCTCCTCTATCAGCTTCCAGGTATCCGTCGAGATCCATTCCTTGTCTTCTTTCTTCTTCCTTCCTAATACTGTTGTGCAGGTTTCTTTCCACTTCCAGTGTTCTTCCACACAGGTTTCTTCATGGATGTTCCTCGACGTCTCCCATTTTGTCTTGATGGCTGCCTTGAAGATCTCCTTTGTAGTTTCATCCTTCAGTTTCCGAGAGTTGTACTTGAATTGAGGTCTATCACCAGCTTCCTTGAAGGCTTTCAACTTGATTTGGATGGTTCCTTGCACTGGATACTGGTCTGAACCTACATCTTCTCCTCTTCTTGACCTTGTGTCAAGTAGACTGCGTTTCCATTTTCTCGAGATTGAGATAAAGTCGAGCTGATTTTTAGTGTGTCCTGGTGTCTGGTGAAATCCATGTCGCTCGCTTTATGGATATCCTTGTGTTTGAACACACTGCCTCCCTGCAATCACCGAATCGTTGAATGCACACAATTCTGCAAACAATTCTCCATTCTCGTTCATCACCTCACTGAGCGCTTCTCGACCCATGGTTAGTTCTCTTCCTGTGTTGTCCCCTCCCAGTTTGGCATTCATGTCGCCCCACCCATTAGAATTTTGATATCACCAACTGGCGTCTTGTCCAGTGTTGATTGAAGTTGTCTGTAGAATTCCTCCTTTTTCTCTTGCTCTGCATTATTTGTAGGGGCATAGCATTGTATGATTGTGACTCTCCTTCCTTCCTTTTGAGTTGAATCTTGCTGTCATGATCCTGGAGGAGATTGGTTCCAAGGTGGCACAATAGATGCCTTTTTTTCTTGTAGTTTACTTAAGCACATGACTGTATAAGCGGAGTTCTGAGGTCGACCATGTGGACTCTTGGTACAAGGCATTCACCTGCAGACAAAGAAATCGATTTGTACTCATTACTTAACAAAGTATTAAAGTGCACATATCTCTGTAGCGACTCGTTGATATTGTTCCACTACGTTTGATTTCAGAAATTTCAGCGCCCCTTCTCATTGTATATCTGTTCGCATACAAGTACGTTTATATACGCAACCTGATTCAATCTATTTTACGAATGTGATAGTAATTGTAATCTTACAACTGGGGTCTATCTTTCCCTAGGATGAGAAGTTTGGTTGCATAAAAAGTTATTTAATTAAGTGAAATAAACACTGATCTTAAAAGTGTTTTGATCGATTCTCCCGTAGTTTGACTCTAACCGCAGGCCTCAAGTTTCTTACTTTCCAGAAATTTGGTTATATTTCATTATGACTGAGGTTTTAGCAGATGTGTCCCAAATTGCTGAATTCTAGATTCCATCAGAACCTGATCAAATTAGCATTAGGTGTATTGCTGGGTTTTCAAGTTACAAAATATTTTTCACTCATTATCCTTGTTAATCCTTATTACATAAGATGGTTATAATAATAGAACAACTGTGACATCATATGGTTTGTCACTTTAGGCAGTGAAACTAACCACTATATAATGTTATAATATTAATATATGGAATTTGTGCTGTTATACAAGATTTCTACATAACAGTGTTCTAGGCAGTAGAGTTCACCAGTCATTATGAACACCATTTATCTGTCACATTGAATAAGTTAGCTGACAGCGTCAACCGACGTCTTATGAACTCCTTGTACTACTACTAACATGTAATGATAACCAATAATTTTCTGCTTGTTAGGGAAAGGTATTTAAAAAAATGTTCATGTTATAAATGCCAAAGATTAACAAATACCGGGGTGAAAAATATGTACATCTGCGTTTTTGTAGTAAAAGAAATATGTGCTGAGAGGTCTGTGAAGATTTCATT